GTGCTCGGGCCCCTCACGTGGGTGTCGGTGGCCTTGCTGCCGGGACGGGCAGAGACCTGCTGGTGCCAGCTGCTCAGCAAACCCAGGCCATGGCCTTTGCCTGCCTGCTGGCCCCAGGCCAGAGCCAGCACTTGCTGGGGCCAAGGAAGGGCTGGGGGATGCTGGGGTGGGGTGGGCTTGCATGCAGGGGAGGTTGTTGGGTAGGTAGGGTGTCCCTGCCCTCATCTGTTCCCCTGTGCTGCAGTCATCGAGGAGGCCAACTGGCTCACCCTGGAGAAGGACCTGGAGAAACCAGGGGATGGGTTTGACGCAGTCATCTGCCTGGGCAACTCCTTTGCACACCTGCCTGACTTCAAAGGTGGGGTGTGGGGGTCAGGAGGCGGGGGGGGACACCTATGCAATAGACACAGCATCTCCCAGCAGACTGAACACTCATGCCATGAGTGGGGCAGTGGATTACACGCGGTGGAGTTGCTCGTGTCCAGGGAGGCTGAGTTTGTGGCACGAGCGGGGCCATGGGGTCCCGTGGTGGCGGTGGCGCTGTGTGCATCTATGATGTTGCATCTCTGGCAAGGCTGAAGACACACCCAGACTTGTGCCACAAGCAGGGTGGTGGGTTCCCCATGTGGCGTGCTCTGATGGGGCACCGTGGGCTGTGATGTGGGGTACAGCCAGTGCCTGGGGACTCCATGGTTTCCTCCCCAGGTGACCAGAGTGACCACAAGCTGGCCCTGAGGAACATTGCCAGCATGGTGCGGCCCGGGGGTGTCCTGGTTATCGACCACCGCAACTACGATCACATCCTGGCCACGGGCTGCGCGCCACCTGGCAAGAACATCTACTACAAGGTGGGTGGCTGGCAGACCCTGCCCTGTCCCATGCCTCTCTGCCCCAGCTCCCTGGCCCCACGGGGGCCAGGCAGGGCAGGGAGCAGGGCTGTGGCCAGGCTGGGGGCCACCACATCCCCGCAGGACACAGATGCCCTCCTGTGGTCCCCAGAGTGACTTGACAAAGGATATCACCACCTCGGTGCTGCTGGTGAACAACAAAGCGCACATGGTGACCCTGGACTACACGGTGCAGGTCCCCCCCACCGAGGCAGGGGCAGCCCCGGAGCTGAGGTGAGAGGGGCCACAGGGGTGGCTCCTAGCCAGGGATGTAGCTGGCGCCGTGCCCTGCTGCTCCCCTGCCTCACCATCGTTGCCTCCTCACAGCAAGTTTCGGCTCTCATACTACCCGCATCGGCTGGAGGCCTTCACAGCCCTGCTGAAAGGTGCCTTCCAGGGGAAGTGCCAGCACAGCGTCCTGGGTGACTTCCAGCCCTACACACCGGGGCAGGCCCATGTCCCCTGCTACTTCATCCACGTCGTGAAGAAGATGGCCTGAGGGGCCCACAGGGACAGGACTGTGGTGGCTGAGAGCTCTGCAAGTGGCTCTGGGGACAAGCAGAGAGCTGGGCGCATCACTGAAAGCTGCTTGGGAGCCCGCATCACTGAGAGCTGCTTGGGAGCCCCCTTATCTTCATTAAGAGCAGTTGTGAAAGCTATCAGAGCCTGTGGTCTGTGTGTCCGTGTATGGGTAGGGTACCAGGCAAGGAGGACGGCAGCCATGCCTCAGGATTCCCAGGGAAGGAAGTGCTCAGCCTGGGGGAAATATGGGGTAGGTGCAGGCACAGCCTGCATACCCCGGGGTGGAGTCCCCACCCCCCTCAATCCCCCCTTTTTTAAGTCCCCAGCTGCAGGTGCTGGTCATGCTTGTGGTGTGAGGTTTGGGGCTCCCTCTGAAGCAGAGGCAAGGTGGGGGCTGGCTCCTGGGTGGCTGCATGTCCCTGTTGAGCCCCCTGCAACACCTCTCACAGGGGTGTATAGCTACCCCTTTTCTCCCTTGCACCCCCAGCTAGGTGCTGACCCCTTTTCTGGGCACCCCTGAGCCCCATCCAGGTGTACTCAGACCCCCTTGCAGTTCCCAGGAGAGGGAGGCTCCATACACCCTACCAGTGCCTTTGCTGTGGCTGCAACTCCCTCCTGCCCGCCCTGGGGAAGAGGTGGTGGCCAGATCCAGCAGCGCGTTGCGGTCAGGGGCAGCTCTGCCTCAACATGCTCCGGTGTCAGAGCCAGAGCAACAGGGCTGGAGGCACCCAGCACCTGGGTCTTAGCGCATGAAACACCCGCAGCTGCTGGAGAACCAGCCCTGTGGGGAGGAGCAGAGCAGGAACCCAGTCCTCAACAGCCATGCTTGGCTCAGGAACGTGGCTGCCAGCCGTCTCGGGGCAGGCAAAGCCTGGCAGTGACAGCCCTTCGGGCTGGGGTGCGCGCAGGCGCCTGGCTTAATGTGGGGCTGCCCACACCGGCAGCTGTAGGGACCCAGCAGAGGCAGCTGCCAGCCAGCTGGCTGCCACACTGGCTCAAGCATGGATTTATTTAGCATCCTTCGCAAAGACCAGGATGCAGGGCACACACGATGGTGCTGGCAGCTGCCATGAAGCTCTAGCAGGGGCTAGAGATGGGATGTCGGGGCCAACAGGGCACAAGTTAGTGCAGAGAGGGAAGCTCTGGCTGGCTCCAGCCAAGTGTTGAGTATTTCCAACGCTGAGCCCTCCCTCTCCCGATCGCAAGGTTTTCCTCATATCTGCTGGGAATTTCCCTTGCTGCCATATGCTCCCATTGCCTCTTGTTCTGGCCCCCTGTGCCTCCAAAATCTGGGCTCCGTCTCCCATGGCAGCTCAGCCCACAGCTGAGCAAAACCCCCTCCTTCAGCCCCTCCTCATCCAGCATGGGCTCTAGCCATTCTGGCAACCTTTGAGGGACAAGGGTGGCCCCAGCTGGGTTCATACGTGTGCTTTCCCCTCCACCTGCAGGACAACGGTTTCTCTGCAACACCCAGCACACCTGGGGGCTCACAGGGACCTTCCCAAACCCACAGACACCATCAAGCAAAGACCTGTGGCCAGGCAATGAGTGCCTAGTGCCAAAAAAATGTATTTATTGAGAGACCGTGTTGATCCTAGCTCAGGTGCAGCTGCAGTGCCGTGTCCTGCTGCCCTCCAGCCAGCACTCCTCACTGGGGGCTGACCACCCCAACAAGCAACTGCCTCCAGCCCCACTCTTGCTGCCAAGACAGGAGTAGTCTGGGCCTTGTTTCCCCCAGTGCTCTGTCACACAGACACTCCTACATTGCTCACAACCATGAGACAGCTTCCTCCCTACAGGGAAGTCACCCCGATATGCTCCCAGCACCATAAAGTGCTCCCTGAGATGTGAGGGGGCGTTACAGAACCCAACGCCAGCTTGGCTGAGCAGAGCAGTGCTTCCACCAGGCTTTGGCTCAAGAAACTGCACAGCCACTTCTACTCAAGCTCAAAAGGAGGCAGCCCAGGAGACGAGAAGAGCAGGCAGGTGCCTGTTTGTACCTGTTCTCTCGCACCCCTTAACACACTCTCCCCGTCACTCCTCCCGGCTCTGCTGAGCATTAGCAGGCAGCAAACTTCTGCTGGATGAGCCTGTACCTGAGCAGCTCCTGCTCAGAGACTGATGGCTGCAAGCTCGCAGCAGCCTGCAGGAAGTCTTCCATTGTCAGGATCAGAGCAGAGCTCTCGGTATCCAGCCCTGCATGACAGAGAGAACAGGAAAAGGCTGAGCACCAAGCACAAGGGCGGCTGGCAAGATCCAACAGCCCCCTCTGCAGCCATCGGGAACTGGAGGGAAAACCTGTGCCCCTCTCCTTCCCCCTGGGGCCAAGCACCAGAGGTGGACCACATCTGCAGAATCTGCCTGCCCACCAGCAGCCCAGAGCCCAGCATTTAAAGGTGGTCCCTGAGGCATCGAGGTTCTTCTGCAAACCCAGTGACCGGTAGTGGTAACTCTCCTCCCTGCCCCTGCACTGGGCCGCCAGCCTGTGGGACAGGTAGAGGCTGGGCTCCTACCTTCCTCGATCCATTCCACCTTGCGTTTGACAGCGCACATCATGGCGTCTGAGCACAGGGCGTAGATGTCTGCTCCTGTCAGCTGAGCTGGGCATTTTTCTAGGATGGTGGTGAGATTCACACAAGGATCCAGTTTAAACCTGCCAAGAGAGAAAACTGCAGGTGTAAAAGCCACAGAAAAAACAGACCCAGGGAGACATGGCAGCAGCCAGTGTGAGTGGGCAGGAGGAATCAGAAGCATCATGTTTAACACCTTCTGGACTGTGCTCTGCATGCTCCAAAAAACAAAGGGGTTGGTTGGTTTGTTTTTTCAATGCAGCTACTTCTCTTTGAAACATCCACACTGCAAAGTCCTCTCTCCTGCTAAGTAGGATCAAAGGCAACTTTGAGTTCTCCATCAGAGAAATTAAGTGCTCCACATGCCTGGGAACAGCCTACAGCCAGGGCTGGATAAGAACATGTTTAATTACAGACAGTACAAACCACTCTAACACCAAACCATCCCATCAGAGCCACACTGCAGACAGTGAGCCTCCTGTCTCAGCACTGACAACAGCATCATGCTGGAGGGCATGACTGCCAAGCCACATGGTGTGAAAGGACTGGACATTAGGAAAAACTTTTTCACAGAAAGAGTGGTCAGACAGTGGAACAGGCTGCCCAGGGAGGTGGTGGTCACCATCCCTGGATGTGTTTAAGGGTCGTTTAGATGAGATGTTGGGGGTTATGGTGTAAGGGAGAACTTGTAGAGTAGGGCTGATGGTTGGACTTGATGATCCCAAGGGTCTTTTCCAACAGGAATGATTCCGTGACTCTCGCAGCCAGCCCACGTTCTCACCTCTCCTGATAGCTTATCCTCAAAGGCAGCAGGATCACAGCTACCCATCACAGAAAAGTCCCTGCAGAGGGAGATTCACAGCTGCACACCCAGCTGTGATGGGGGCTACCTCTGCACCTGAATTGCAAGGCTTGCTTTTCTCCCTCCAGACAAGCTCTCAGGAGCTCAGAGCAGCTGTGGAAGCAGCCAAACCCTGCTGCTTCATGATCCCACACAACCAGCATTTGGAAAGACAGAGCACAGGCTGAACACCCCTCAGCATCGCAGGAGGAGAGGCAGTGAGACAAATGGAGCTGCTTTCACCCTTGGACCTGCAAACAGCAGGAGACATGCTTGGGGAAACTCCTGTAAAAAGGAAATGAGAAGTTCCTGTCACGGTGCTGCACTGCAGCCTCATCACACTCTTTGGATCTGGCTGAGCTACTCGAGAAGAGCACATGGGTACGGTGACTGGAGAACTCTACCAACCCCTCCACTTGGACAGCCAGCTGAGCAGCTCCCAGCTTGTAGGAAAACCAGCCCCAGTTCTGCTTCGGGAAGCTGACCCATCCTCTTCCCCTACCTGCCAGCTGTGGGTCAGTGACTCAGGTGCTCCCCAGGGCTCAGATATGAAGCCAAGCTGGAGCACACTACGCATCAACACCAGAAAGGCTGCTGTGAAAGCACAGGGTCACTCACTTCCTGGTGACGGCGCTCAGCACCTGCAGCTGCGACTCCCGGTCTTCGTTTATGCCCACATAGACCAGCTTGTCAAACCTGTCAGCAGAGAGAACAGATAGTCGAGAACAGGCCAAGACAAACCTGCCACTGGTGCTCAGCCCCATGCACCAGAAACAGAAGGGTGACCCTGGGGCAGCTCCTTTTGCTACCAAGTTCATGGATGATACAAAGCTATGGGGAGAAACAGTCAATGTGCTGGAGGGCAGGGCTACTCTGCAAAGGGACTGGGGCAGGCTGGAGAAGCAGGCTGACAGGAACCATGTGAGGTCCAACAACAGCAGATACAATGTCTTGCCACAGGATGGAGAACAAGCCGCAGGCATGTGGGCAGCCTGGAGGGCAGCTCCGCAGAACAGGCCATGAGCGACCAATTCTTCCTGCCAGTTTAGTGCCACAGCAGGTCCCTTTTTGTTCTGCTGTGCTGCTGGGGCAATAACCAGAGTGGTGAGAGATAATAAACAATGGTATCTTGTGCTGCTGCTACAGCCATAGGTACTGGCCTCCTCTTGGCTTCCTATCTCCACAAGCCAGGGCAAGGAGGCTTGGGAACAGTCTCTGTGGGGTGGGGATGTGGGGACATCATGCCAGCTCATCTCTGCCTGAGGAGCTCCAGGGAACTACTGTGGAGTGAGTCAGGGTAGGATGTGACATACCTGCCTGGCCGGAGCAGAGCTGAGTCCAGGAGATCAGGCCTGTTGGTAGCTCCAATGACAAATACCTCTCTGGTGGAATGAAGGCCATCAAGTTCAGCCAGGAGCTGCGAGACAACTCTGCAAGGAGCAAGACAGGATGCTCAAAACTAGACCTTGGCAAGTCACCCACTGTCACCCTCAGCCACCAAATGAAAAGAGGAATAAGCAAGGCCACAGGCAGGTCCATGTCTTGGACTTCAGCTCATATTTCTCTTCCCTGAAGAGCCCTGACACAACTACCCAGATTTCCCTGTTTGAGCACAGCTAGTGGGCATGTGAGCTCATTGCAAAATAAGTGCAAACCCCTGGTACTGAGACAGTCCTTCAGGACTACGCTTGGCTCTGAACCCTTCCACGATGGCCACACATGCTTATACTTGCTGTCAGACACTGGCAACACAGACCAAACACAGGCTGCGGCTCAGGTTCCCCGCTCAGATGTGCTGGCTGGTCCTAACTCTCCCTGCTACATGGTACTGCCCAGCAAGTTCAGCAGCAAGACTGCCCTGTCAGTCCAGGCCAGGTACCCCTGGCAGGAGAGTGACTCTGCCAGCCAGTCCTCAGGGTAGTGAACAGCACACACAGCAGATCTAGTTCCATAGCCACGTGGCTTAACCTGGTCTGGCAGCACAGTACTTCACGGCTGCGCAGACCTCCTGAAACAGGGATATATCCACCAGGTTCTGGAATCAGCTGAGGTGACCAGTGGACACCATATCCAGCCTCAAATTTAACTGCTGGCTTGAGCGCGTGAAGATGGTTGCCAGGGGCACATGGCGTCACTGGAAAATTCTGCAGAACCCCTCACAGGTGGAGAGGAAGATTGGTTGGGGACTATAAGCTCAGCAGAAGAGGTCTGGGGAAAATAACCCTGTTTCTGGTTATCTCCAAGCTATATATATTTTGCTTCTACCAGAGGCAGCTGAAAGGCTTCCCACCACAAGGAAACAGCAACTAATAGGAAGAGAGCACGGCAGCGGTGTGAAGGATGACCTTGGAGAGGCCAAAGGGAGCAGTTGGCAGCCACAGAAGCAGCTAGAGGAAACTCTGTTTTAACCAAATGTTTGCACAACAAGCTTGGGCAATCAGGAATCTGCGGCAATGCAAACAGCAATACTCATGTCCAGAGAGAGAAGACAGGCCATGCAGAGGAGCTGAAGGGAGCAGGGAGGGAAAAAGTAGAGGAGAGTTGGAATGGAGTCTGCCTTGCAGGGCAGTCCTGTGCATCCCCCCAGCTGAGGCAGGTATGCTGGTCTCCCAAGGATGCAGGGCGCTCACTCACCTGTCCATGACACCCCCTGAATCTCCACTCCGCCCACGACTGGGGGCCAGGGAATCCAGTTCATCAAAGAAAATAATGCAAGGAGCAGCTGCCCTGGCTCTGGCAAACACTGGGAGGAGACAGCACAGAAGGTGAGAAAGACCTGAAGGAGCAGTCAACAGCAACAGGACCTGCTACATCACCAGCAGCACCCAGCACGATGGGCCCCGAGGCTCAGCTGTCTTTGAGGGTCTGCTGTCCTACCAGGAACACCAGGGACAAGAGCAACAGGAGCAGAAGCTGCAGCAAGGCAGGGAACAGACAGTTGGGTTCATGCCACTGCTGACAGCTGTGGTTGGGAGTTGGGAAGAGGGGTTTAAGCACTACCTCCTTCCCCCCAGCACCACAGAAAAGCCCCATCTTCCCACATGCAGGAGCAGGATCTATCTCCTCACCATTACGCACGTTCTCCTCACTTTGCCCAACGTACATGTTGATGAGCTCTGGCCCTTTCACACTGCAGGGCAGAGAGAAAAGGGAGCCAGTCAGAGGATGCCTATCCACTGCCAGGAGAATGTCAGTCCCATTGTGTGACCTCCCCCACTCTTCACCTAAGGAACGTCATGGCACATGTGGTTGCCACAGCTTTTGCCAGCAAGGTCTTCCCTGTCCCTGGAGGCCCATACAGCAGCAGACCAGAGCGGCACAAACCCAGTGACAGCAGCTCAGGATGCTCCAGGGGCAACTGGATAGTGTCCAGGATCTCCTTCTTCACCTCTTGTAGCCCACCAACATCCTGCCAGGACACAGAGGGGATCTGCCAAGAGAGGGAGAGTCCCTGTCAGCACTTCTTCCTGAGCCCCGAGCATGCCTGGGCAGCTCTTGCTCCAGCGGTGTGCTAGTCATCAGCCCCTTGTGCTGTCAGCTGCATCTGGTGATGCAGCAAGTCAGCCCCGCACTGCACTGCCCAGCCATCCCAGCTGTGGGATCACCCAGCATCCACACTTCAGCTTTCCCGAGCCTTGCAATGGTGAAAACTGCACATGTCTCCAGGCAAGCCGTGCTCACAGCATGCTGCCTGTCTCCAGTCCTCTGTTGTGCCTCCTATTACCTGCTGGCAAAAATATCCCAGGGAAAGTAACTGCCAGGGTTGCCTGCAGCTCGTGGGGAGAGAGCCCTGCTGCAAACAGCCGCTGGGACACATGAGGGAATGTAAAAATAAAAATAAAAAAACCCAAACCAAAACCTGGAGCTACCTGTGTTCAGGGCACCTTGTCCCCAGGGTGGTGAGATTGTCCAAGGGCTTCATACCAGAGCAACGAAACCCCAGTGACTAGGACCTCTGTTGTGTGAAGGAGGATGTGAGAGACAGATGTCCTGGAGGACACTGTACAGAAAGCTAGCTACTTTTGAAAGGAAGGATGCAAAAACAAAGTCCACGGATGCTTATAAGAAATAGATAGGGATGGGGTCAACTGCAAACACGCAAGGGATCATTGCAAAGCGAGGAAAGACAGCAAAATTGAGAGGGGTGAGCCATGGCACTTTCATTGTTTTATGCTGAGCAAAACAATCTTGGGAGGATGCTACTGCTCTGCTCACAGCTTTAGAAATAGAAGGAATGCCACAGTCTGCATGACAGATCATCCTGGGAGTCAGAGCAGCTCTCTGGGGAATGCACAGAGAAACCAAAGCCCCAGATCACTTCCCCCCAGCTGCTGGCTGTGTGGGGAACAGGTGCCAGCGCAAACAGGGAGTTTAAAAATAGGCTAGAGCAAAATTCTTTCCCTCCTCAGCCAATTTGGCTCTCCTTCCTTCACTTGAGATGATGTTATCTCATGCTATTTCTCCAGCTGTCCAGCAAGTCCATCAGGAAAATCAGGTCAGACAAGATAAGGATTTCCAGAAAAAAATAAAATCTTTTAAAGCAAAAGGTCACAGGCCCTCCTCCTTCAGTGCTGATGAATGGAAAAGTTGCCCTCTTCCCTGCATTTCTGCTTATAATGCCTCCCTAGAAAAAGTTCTATAGACATTAGTACAGGAGCTGGAAAACTGCAGCAAGGTTTTCGTAAGTCTTGGACACGCTGCAGACACTGCTAGCAACGCGATATTTGAAATTAGTTCTCTCTAGGAGGCTCAAGCTGTAACTGCAAACAAATGTGTGACTAACCAGAAAGGCAAGTGAGGAATTAGAAGTTATGTATGTTGAGAGTATCCAGGTCTGTAAATGGGCTTTCTGAACCACGGCCAATTACTAAGAAATTGATAAGGGATATAAAATACAAACAAAATCAGCTCCCATTCACAAAGCTTGCTGACAAGCACGCTCTACGGTTATTATTTGTCTTATAGCAAACTTGGCAAAGGCCTCAAAGCAGAACTCATTGCAGCCTCTAGTGAATTTATGAATTAATTAAGTCCCAGAGTAGCTCCTGGATGATGACACCAGCAAGTGTCGTCACCTGCTAGGGCAGGAACTGCAAGTGGGCACCTAGGGAAGGTGCCAGAATAACTGCTCCAAGGCCAATGTTTCCTGTCCTATGCTGAGTTCAATCATTCCACTTGAGGGCATGGAGAAGAGGTTCTGATCACTTTGCTTGGTCCTAACACCACGTTACCCAGTAGAAACAGTCACCCCAAACACTGTTTCCATGGGTGCAGAGCTGCCAGAGGCAGATCATGCCCCTCCCAAGAAGCTGACTGTGCTGGCTTTCTATGACACTCAATGTCCCTTTCCCTGAAGAACCCCAATGTTCTTCAAACTGTCTGGCTGTCAGAAAAGCCCATGCCAGCTTGAGCAGTGTCCAAATCAGGGATCAAGTATAAGGCTTCTCACACATGTGGGGAAACTTCCTCACCAGCTTGTGCCATTCTGTTCCCATATGCCAGGTGATCTCAGCAGGCAGCCAGCCTGCAGCTGCCTTTGCCTCTCGGAAGGCTGAGTTACTCAGCTGGCATCCCTGTGGCACTAGTCAATCGAGCGGCAAGGGCTTCCCTGACCAAATTCAAAGCCAAGGCGGCAAAAAGCACTAGTGAAGGAAAGCCCACATTGGGACTGTTTCCCACCCAAGGCTGGGGGAATATGAGGAAGGACACCACAGGAAGTGACGTGCCAGAGCACAGCCCTGTCTGACAAGGTCTGTGAGAGGTGTCTTGAGCCATACGGCTCTAGAGGATCAACTCCTCTTCCTGTGTCCCAGTCCTACCTTTGGAGCTCCCACTGCCTTCGAGTGGGCATTGTGCAGCTGGTCCAGCGCAACACTAAAATCCTCCTCGAGTACTGGGAACCCAGCAGTGCAAAAATCTCTCTCCACTTCCTCGCTCAGTCCGCCTGGAAAACTGGTGAGGAAAAAGAAGGGAAGGACTCAGGCTCTGTCCCAGTCCTGGCATTATCAGGCTGGCTGCAGTCCCTGCCCTCCCCCACCTCCTGCCCTGTTGCCTGTGCTACCTCAAGGCCTGGATGCGGGTACAAGCAGCCTGGCTGCTGTAGGACAACAAGGCGCAGAAATCTCCCAGCACAAAACCCTGTGAATGCAGAAACAAACAGCACCAGTTCAGTCTCTGACCACAGCTTCAGCTAGGCCACAAAAAGCATATGGGGAAAAATTCCTTGCAGAGTTGTTCTTTGATGTTCTGTGTTCTGGTTAAAAGCTCTAGCTTATTCTTTTTCTACTGCCTCTGTCTTCTAGCAGAGCTGAGCATCAGCCAATACCTCTGCAAAAGGTGTGCAATCCTTAGGTACTAGAAATCTGCAGCTAAAGCTGATGTCTGAGGAGCAGAGTTAACCACTGCAGAAGTTGACTGGGCTGTGGGAATTGCCCCATTTCTCCATGGGCAGGGAGGTTGGCCCAACACTCCTGGCCTGCCCATCTCTACATGCTGCTGTGGTTTCACTCACTGCAGTCCTGCGGGCCAGCTTGGATAGGCTCACTTCTTTGCCCAGAGGCAGACTGGCAGTCAGCATGCTCAGCATCGACTTTCTCTGCTCTTCTGAAGGGGCTTCAATTTTCACCTCGTGAAGGAAAGCAGTCTGCACATCCGTAGGAATATCCTGGGGCTTGCAGGTTGTGCCAATCACCAGGACAGGGTGGCTGTTGAGAAAAGGGGGACAGTGCATAGTCACAGCATTATGGAAGCTTCCCTCTTACAATGCCCTCACATACACCAAGTCATTCTCCCACAGCTAACCTTGGCTCCGAGAAATGCACACATACTAGCCAAGGTGTCTCGCAACCACTCTCCTCTGGCTTGCTCTTGAAATGCTTTGGGAGCTCTGTCTCCAAGTCAAGACCCTTCAAGCCACATCTTGTTTCATCACTTGATGTCTCCCTCCCTGCACCCTGGTACTTGTCACCAGCCTCAAGATACTCCCAGGGTCCAGCTCACTTCTGGGGTCCCTGCAGCCCTTGGCATGCTTCACAGCAAACATGCTGGGTTTGCTCATCTGAACAACTCAGAAACCAGCTTCAGGCAACAAAGCTTCCCGATTCCCTCTCCCACTAATCTGGAAGAACAAGGGCCCTCTGAAGTAAACAAAGCAAGTCTTGGAGACACTCCATCAGATTAAAAATAAAACAGGGCATGTTAGCAATCAGTCACCTTGATGTAATGGTGACTGCTGCCCTAGGGCAGAAGCAAACAATCACTTCAGAGGCCCACAGCAAACATGCAGGGTCCCTACCTCAACGCTGAGTCTCTGTCCAGAAGCAGGTGTCTCAGAGTGGCGATGACCCTGGCATCCTCTCCTAGCCTGTCCCGGTCTCTGCCAAGAACCTCGATGTCTTTCAGCAGGAGCACACAGGGATGATACTGCTGGGCCTGGGTAAAGGCCATCTGTACTTTCTCCTCTGTGGCCCCACTGGTGTCACTGCACAAACTGACGCAATCAACCTGCGAGACAGACCACAAAACACACAGTCTGCAGCAGTTGCAACATGGACAGCTGGGAGACCCAGGACAATGTTCACTTTCACAAAGCTTTCCACGGGCAATTCATAGCTGAAAGGACACCTAAATGGATTCTTCCCAGAGAAACACTCCGAGCATATTCAAAATAGTCACATTCAGGCCTCTCTGGCATGGAAAAATGGCTGTTTCTTGTTTCTCTGCAGGAGGTGAGGGGGGAAAAAGGGTGTTGTCTGAAAAAGATGAGGCCATGGGACCAGAGAAGTTGATAGAGTGGATGTCATGGCCCAGCAACCTAAGCTGCAGAGCCATGGAAAAGGCCAAGACAGGGAGAACAAGATGTCTTGGAGGAACAGTGAAAAGAATGAAGCGGGAGGCTCAGGAAATTCTTCAACCTAGTGCTACACAGGCTCAAAGTGCAAGAGGAAGGGAGAAGGTTGGGGGGTGAGGCAGAGAGGTGGAAGTTAGAGGTGGCTAGAGGCCCAGACACTGTTTACAAAGCAAACACTTGATGAAGTCATCCAAAAAGGAAAGGTGACTAGCGAGCCTTGAACAGCAGCTTAAATGCTGCTGGACACAGGCAGTGCTGCCTCCTGGTGCTGTGAGGTTGTGCAGGGAGAGTCAAACTATCTCTGGGATTCCCTGGGCCTCCTACTCAGAAAGGGTATCTTGGAACAGGGAGAACGTCTCAAGAGCTGACGTAAAGGGTAACGACGGGGATGCAGAGCAGAGAAGTTCCTGCGCTCTGTGTACTACAGACAAAACCAGCCAAATAACAGCAGTGTCTGTATGCAAGTACAGAAGGGCAAAAAGGACAAAAAAACCTGCTGATCATCAAGTGGTGGATTTTACAATGTGGAAGAATGTCCTGGTAAGAAAGCAGGCAGAACAGTCAGAAAAGGAGAAGGTGGAATCGTAGTGTAAGCATTGCAGTGAGTGAGAAAAGGAGGGGAGAACATAAAAATTGGGTTAGGAAAATAAGATGGACAGCAAATACCTCTGTCTTCAATAGTGTTAGTTAGTCTTTAAAAGCAGCACACAGAGCCAGAATCAGAGCTATAGCCTTGCACATCGCACTAGAACCTGAGGCCACCTGCCCAGACATGGCAGTGCCACAGTGCTCCCAGACACATCCTATACATGGACCTGAAAGTACTGTGAAGCCTCCACAATCTTGTACTGGATCTCAAGAGCTATGACACATCTGCAGAAGGGTAAGAGCTCAGCACCACTAAGGATTGTGTCCAGAAGATGAGCTGCACAGCAGCTGGCCAAGGCTGTGTCTACCTCCCCCACTGACCCACTGTTAGCGCTTTACTTGGGTAGAAAAGAGCAGTTAAAGAATGTCAACTTAACAGGACTCAACTTCTAAATAGAAGAAGAAAACCCAAGTATCTAAAATGCTTATTTTGTTTTCTCTGAGTTTACTCTAAAAATGCCCACAAAAAAGGAGCAAGTCTGTTTTCCTTCACAAAAAGGAACCTTCCAACTCTCTTCTTTCCATCTTTCTTCTTCTTCCAAGTCCTTTCAGAGTTTCAAACTCTTCTAGAAAAGTCACTGTGTGATTTCCAATCCTCTCACTTCTGCAAACATAACTCTACAGATTCAAGGAGAGTAAAGAATTTGCAGGATACATCCAGGCTGTCAGGGTGAACAAAAGGAGTGTGCAGAAGGAAAATAGTCTTTTTAACAAGTCCATGAAGACTGCCTTGGTGCCCAGAACCTCCAGTGCTGGACAGAGACAGAAGCTAGACCTCATTTTGGCTGTGAAGCTTATCCCAGGACAGCCACAGCTGTAAGAACATAGGAACAGCTGTAGTGGTTCAGACCAAGAGTCCATTTAGCCTGCTATTTTGTCTTCAAGCAGAGCCACAAGTGGCTGCTGAAGACAGAGTAAGATCAGGATAAGCACATGTAACCCTTTCCTCTCAGTACTCTTCCAGGCACCTACCATTCCCACCGAAAGGGATTTTCCTAGTCAGATGTGGTTTCATAACAGTAGATTGCTCCTCCAAATACTAGAGAAAGAATAATCTCCTTTAGCTTACCTGCTCTTGCTAGCTTCACCTGTCAGCCCTGGGCCTCATGCTGGCACAGAGAAAAGTACACACCTTCCACTCTCTGCCAACCACTCAAGAACCTCTATCAACCTCTCCCTAAGTTCTCTATTTTTCAAGCTGAGGAGCCTGTTCAGCTGTTCACCACACAGAAACTGGTCTAGACCTCTGATCTTCCTCAGTGTCCTACTCTGATTTTTTCCAGTTCAGCTTTAAGCTTTTGCAATGGGGAGATCACAACTGCACATAATATCCAAGCTGTGGCAAGACACAGATCTGCACAGCAGCAGCACCTATTCTCAAGTTTGTTTCCTAAAATATGATCTGATTTTTGACATATATGGAGAACAGAGCCCAAGTTTTCATGGAGCCACTGACATAAAACCACATTATTAATACTGACTGGTGATAGTCAGCTTGAAATATATTTCCCATGTAAAACCCACCATAGTGAATTTTACCTGCCATTTTACTGCTCAGTCACTTGGTCTCATTTAAAGATCTCCTCTAGTCCAAGGACAGTCTGTCACCTTTTCCTCTTACCTTTAGTAACTTAATTATCAACAAGCCATCACATCATTATTCACACCTTTCCATGTAATTTCTGAGCTCCCAGTGCCTGCAGAGCTCTGCTGCTGATTGTGAAGACTCATCAACTATTCCCATCCTGTTCCCAACCTTTAACCAGCACTTTATCCATGTCAGGACCTTCACTCACATCCCACTGCTATTCAAGTTTCCCAAAGAGCCTTTTCAAAACCCAAGTAGACTCTGTTGGGTCAAGTTACCTTCCTCACATGCTTGCTAACACCTTCAAGTAACTTTCTGAAGGTTTACGGGACAGGATTTCCCATTGCAAAAACTACATGGATTCTTCACAAGTAGGGAAGTCATCCCAGAGTGTGGTAACTCTATCCACCACCCTAACCTGCTACAGGTTTGTGCCCCTTGAAGAATCTTTAGCAACTGCCCTTTACCTGCTGTTCAACTGTTTTGTCTCCCACTTACTTTTCTCAAGCCCATCCCAATATGATCTATGCAATGGCCTCATGTTGTGGCATTAGTGTCCCCCATTCACCTCCACAGCAGATGTAACATTTCCTTATCATGGTTGATTCTTTCTTCATAAAGAAACTTCATTTTGATGATGTTCCCCTTTCAGAAGCCAAGCACTGCTATGGAATATTTGGGGGCTTTTTTGCTCTTGTCAGGAGGTGAGTGGGGTAGTGAAATGTGAACACAGTTACAGGGCAGCTCTTCTACAGGCCACAAGATTTTGAACACATGCTTTTATCAAACGAAGGGCTGCAATTCTTTTCGAGTCTTCCCAACCAGCTAGAGAAGATCTCAGCATCATCTCTGCCTCACCTTCCAACATGCCTTTTGCCCAACCTATGCAGGGACAACTCAAAACACACATTGCCACTGAAATTCCTGCCCTCAGCACCTCTCCAATGTCTCCCAGGTTATTTTAGTTACTATACCCCAGAGGGTGGCAGTATCAAATCAATGCCCTATAAAATGATAGGAAGTTAGTCTGCTGAAATACAACTGTGTATTGCAGTATCTGTAAAGTATATCAGAATGACAACATTGATGACAAGAGTCAGTAAAGAAAGGTACAAACACACACCCTGAGCCAAGAGATCTCTAAATTACTGATTCTGGAGCACTGGAGGGTACATGCCTAGGAAACATCCCTTCAGGCTTACATTCTCTTCCTGAGCATCTGGCCAGTCTCAGACGTGGACCAGGGGGGCTAGACAGTCCTTTAGGCTGATTCAAAGGGTTGCTCTCAGGTTCTGCCCACCAGCAGTTGTAATCTGCTCCAGAACGAGCTGCTAAACTCAGCAGACTCTGACTCCTTCTGTCTGCATGTGCACACAGGAGAAGCTTTTGGGCAGGCTCCTGTCACAGTTGCAGCAAGGGTGTTGGTATGGCTAAAAAAAAGAATGTTTCAGTAATTCTTTCTATGTTGTAAATCCACCAATCAACCACCCACAGGAGGCATTACCTTGAAGAGGTGGAGGTTGAGACAGCTACACACAGCTCTGACAGCCATCAGTTTCCCACTGCCGCTTGGCCCAGAGAGAAGAACACTGCCAGGCCCGCTCAGTGCACTTGCCCTGTAACACAGAGGCAGTTCTTCCAGTAACTAGAGAGCAGGGTGCCAGCTCTCCCGGGGCTTGCTAGAAGGAATTCTAACTCACCAACTGTTCAGGTGAGGCCGAAGAGCATCACAGAGCTGCTTCACGACATCAGAAAGTCCAGCAGGAGACAAACTGCTCCAAAACTCATGGCTGTTATAGGCTGGGGCAGATGGAACAGCGCTGTTTGTTGAACCCACCTGTGAGGAAAGGAAAATAGCACTCTGTGGAAAAGACAAGTACCAAGTGAAAAAGTCTGTCCTGAAATGCTGTTTTTCAATGGCAGGAGACACAAGCCTCCACAGGCACCTTTATCATCCACAGCGCAACCTCAGCCTCAGATCTCCTGTGAGCAGTCCCTGTTCTCCACTGATGTCTTACCAGATAGAGAGAGGTGTTCTGGGTGTCCACCAGGTAACCCTCAGACTCCTCGCCTTCCACTTTGCCTAAAATCTTCCTCACTTTGAAGTAAAGCTCTGGCCACCTAAGGGAAAAAACAAGCAGTCTAAAGTGCTGAGACAAGATCCTGAAGGCAGGAACAATACAGTTGTCAAGCAAGAAGAGAGCTGAAAGACACGAGTAAGCAGAGATACTCTTGTCCTCTCCTGGGACCCATGCGGATCCTTTATGGACCCTGCTGTGCTGCATAGCCAGACAGACCAACAGGACTGTCAACAGCTACAGCTTCTGATGGTGGCTTCAGTCCACAAGTACGACTGTGCTAACCTTATTTCATCTGTCTAAGAGCTCAAGCTTTTCTACCACAGCTTCTTTCACTACATCTCCGCAGAGATTCACCTGCAGCGTATAAAAATCTTACAGCACAGAGTCCTCTAGGCTGCAGACTAGGACTCACCCAAATACCATGAGAGCCTTACAAGTATCCTGCCCTGGACACCTCACAGGAACAAATGCTTCTTCCTACGTTGATATCCCACTGGACAGATTAAGGGATCTACAGAGGTTTCCTCCAGGATTCTCTCCACCCTCTGAATAATTGTACCATTTGCACACCAACACAGTTCCAAGCTCTTTAGGTCCCATGAAATCTGCCCTCTTCTCTGGCTTGCCACATGGCTAATATATAACAAAAACTTCCACAAATGAGGATTTGTGCCTCCTATGATCCTGCCTCCCTCTAAGAAACAGCCTAGAAAACACTCAGTGTAGTGGTGCTATAAAACTATTACATTTTAAAATACATAGCAGACCTGAGCAGTATTACAACATGCTGCTGGTATATCCTGCATGAACGATTCAAGGCAATTCTTTGCATCACACACCTCAGTTACCTGTGGTGGTTCCCTCTATGACACAGTTGAAGCACTTCTATTAACACCAGCCAAATCCCACTGCAAGCATCCCTACTCCGGTACAAAGGTGACTTTCTCTCATTTAGCACAGAATGGTTTCAAAGCCATACAAGCAAAACCAAGAAAGGCAGAACTGGTGGCCAAACAGAAAGTTATTCTAACAAGAACTGTAAGGGCTTATAGTCACACTTTGCTGTCCATCACAAGTTGACAAACCCAACTTCCACTTCACTTTATGTGGCACTGGCAGTCCCCAGGCCACCCCTTCCTCCTCTTCTTTCTATTTTCCCCATCGGTTTTTCTTTTTCCTTTCTTCCATCCATGACTATTTTCCTCCATGAGCTAAGGGAGACCTCCCTCCTAGCTGCAGAACTCCATAATCCAACAAAGACGGCTCCCTCTTCCCCCTAAACTGAGGCAGATAAACCCTAAACTCCAGGGACAGATCAGAATAGAATAAACTGTCTTGTTCCAAGAGAATCAGTAGTGGACAAGTATATTTTCTCTTGCAGTACACATGTAATAGAGCCAGTTTATTGCCACTTACCTTAGGAATTTGTTTGCATTTACTTCTAAAAACTCAGCATATCCAAATGTTGGAACACATAGGATGTCTCTCTCCTGGACAAGCCTACAAAAACAACCAGGGAATTTCACCAGTGAGAGTAAATCCTTCTGGTCATGAGTCCTCCCTGTCCCATATCACATGCATTTTTACAAAAAGAACATAGCTATTCATATAAACTCCTTTCCTGTAAATAAAACTATAAATAGCCACTTAAAGATTTAGCATGCACTGGATGCAACTAGGCATAACCAGACTACTATGGAGAACCTTGTGGGAATGGTACAGAAGATGAATGCCATTAAAGAGCATCTCTTCCAGACAAAATAGCTGCCTTATCCCAGGAACAGCTGAGTATAATTCCAACAGAAAGCCTCAACTCCCGAATGAAAGAGTCTTGGGGGCCAGTGTCATAAGAGTGGAAGGCAACACATCCAGTCTCCTGATTACACAACTTCATTCAAAGCTGAAAATTGGGGTTATGGACATGGCTCAGAATGGAGGCCTGTGGGCAGCACCTGGGAGCCCTCAGCATGGGATGGTAGATCATGAGGAAGGAGACTTGAAGATGTCTTCTGAAGAACAGGACAAGAGGCGCTGTGTGCAAGTCCTGAAATTCTCTCACTCTCGAGGGAAGACGGTTCAAGTTAATATTCTAAAACTACTCAGCATCTGCGCTAAGGAGTTGATTATGCGCATCACGAGCGCGTATCAGATCCGGGTGACAGAAGCAGGGAGCAAGGGCGCACCTCACACATACACCCCACGAGTAGAAGCGCGATTCCTCCCCACACAGCTCACCGGGGCATTTCAAAGTGCTTGTAGAGGACCCGGTCGTATCCTCCACGGGCGCTGTAGGCAGGCGAGCAGACAATCTCCAGGTGCAGCTCCTTGGCGAAGGGAGGCACGGAGAGCACAGACCGACTGCCTTTCCCATCCGCGGCACCGGATCTCTCGTATCTCTGCGGAGGCGAAAGGGCGCCCCGTGAGACCCCGCGGCGGCCCCCCTCCCCGACCCCAGAGGCCTCCGCATCTCCCGGGCGTGCAGGGCCCGGCCCCGGCTCACCCGCAGGTGGAGGTGTACGGCGGCGGCGGGGTCGCAGCC